GGCAATGTCTTCATTGAGTAGCCGTGTCCAATCCCGATAGGATATTGAGGAGCAACAACTGCAGTAATAACATCCTTATTTCGCCCCAGAAGAAGATGCTGCTTTATATTTTTAGTATTTTGTAGAAATTCGAATAAAGGATACAATACGCCGAGTATAATATTTGCAATCGTTTGCAATTTTATTATAGAAATAATATATTACAAAGTTAATATTTTTTTTCCAATTGTCATGGAGTAAAGTGAGCTATACTTTTACATAAAATCCATCGTTATAATTTTCATGTTCTTTTACTATACAGTTTTAAATCAATTTATATTTCGTAAAAATCTTGCAATCTTTTTGTTAACTACTATAATCCAAAATAGAAATTTATTCAATGTAGTATTTAATATTCACATAATTATTATAGAAATTAAAGGCCATATTATTTTTAAACGAACTTAATATAAGATCATTTAACATTCGATACACGTGCGTGTGAAATACGTAAATACAATTTACGCGCAATTTAAATCTGTCAGCTTTCCAAATATAAAGCAAAATTTGATCAATGTTATACACATGTTCATGAGAACAATAATGGAAAATGCTTTATATGTGCAGATCGATTCAATCTAAAAATAAGACAAATTTAATTCTCCCTAAAGGGGAAAGGAATTAATAAATAGTCAAAAATAAAAGCTTGATAACTGATTATGTCGAAAAAATGATAGAAATAATAATTAAAAAAGCATGATTGAAATAAATTATGCGAGATTTTCGGTTAAATGCTAAAAAATCTTTTGCACCTACGGTTAATTCTTAATCCATCGTTTATTAATTCTGTAAATCTCATATACGGCAGAGTGGCTCATTTCCCTCAGCTAATTTCCAATCCTTCGATAACGTTAAATTATTACTCTAAATTACATAATCCAAATTGATAACCCAGGAGAAACTTGAAAAGCGGATCATATTATCAATAACTTAGACTAAGCGCGTTAGATACCGGATAAAGCTTTACAGAATTTTTGATTTAAAAAAAATTAATTAAGTCAAATTATTCTTATTTTAATTTTTTAGATCCCATATTATAATATATATAGATTATTATTTTTTATTGTTGTTGTTGTTCTTGTTGTTGTTGTATAATATCTATATTTAATTTAAACATTATCTAATATTAAAAGAAAATATAATTAATAAATATATTTATGCTAAATTATCTTTTAGTAATTTTTCTTAACTCTGAAATATTTTACTATTTGAATATATATATTTCAGGTATTAATCAAGATATGCGCGAAACCCAAAGAGATGGCTTTATTTATTCGGGAAATAGTTTACAGATTAACATCATGCTCGAAGGTATTCTTCAGAAATTGAATTTCTCTTTACCCAAGTAATGTCACCTGCATACTAAAGCGATCTGGGTCATACGATAATAATCTTTTTTTGTAAGGGAATCGTTCAAGTGATATATAGAAAGCAGAAGACGAGCGGAGGATATAGAAAGAGATTGAACAAATCCAGACTCGCTATTAAAAATTAAATTTGCGATACCGCTTTCAGAACCTGGCCCTGATCCGATTCGCTTTTCTCGATCGATTCGATCGTAAGTGAAAACTAAGTAAGCTCATCTCTTTTTAAGGGCGGTAATTCTGGTTCTGTTTCTTCTTATCAGTTCAAGCGCCCAAACCTATCATCGCAAACTTCCAAATCGATTAACAACATACAGCGATAAACAACTTCTATCTTCTGTATCAGCTATACATCAGAATACACATTATAGACATTAATAAGAATCTCTTGACTTTCTACGGTAATTAAAGTCACGATACAAACAATAAAATCTTCGAAGTCATCGCACATGCAATGTGGACTGCTGCACTTTGTGAATTTTTCTTTTGCACGAACGAATGTAGAGTTCAATTAAGCCAGTTCACTAGCGCAAAGGAAAACACAATGAAGCAAACAACAGGAAGGGCTGCTGACAATTAAAATATTCGATCGAAATAGGGGAGGAAGTATGAATTAGCTTTGTCAACGGCGCGCGGGTGAATTATAACTTTTTCAATAATAACCCGTCGATTCACTCTCCGATCTGCTTTGTGATGCTCATGGCCTTTGACCAGAAAATCCCCGTTCTTTTCTCTTAGTCAATAAGCTGACGTCACGAATTGGCTACATCACGTTTTTGAAACAGCTGTCGTGTCCCATCGCAAACTTTTGATTGAAATAACAAACTGCGAACGTGCTAGAGGTGATTTCTTCAAAATTTTGCATCGATAGCGAAATTCATGTCTTTTCGATAGCAAACTTCATCGAGCGAAGTTAGATGAATCAAGTTTGGACAGCAGGGAGATGAGCGGTCCAAAGCAGCTTCAAGAAAGTTTCTGGCTTACTCTCGGGATCGTGCTTGCCAACCGTCCATAAAATTACCAGCCACCTCATAAAAATGAGTCAGGACTGGACATTTGCACTTTAAGAACGTAAGTAAAATAGTAGATTTTGGTGAAGTTATTTAAAAATATAAGGCAATGTTTTCGCATATTTTTTAAGCTTTTGATAAAGAGATAAATACGATAAGATTGTTAACGAGATTATTAAAAAGACTGGGTCAGTTTAGAAGAAAATGTTAACTTCGTACATAACGCGGATAGAGTCTTATTACGAAATAAAAGTTTTGCTATACATTGATTTTTTGTATAAAGTAGAAATTCTGTATAATATATGTATTATGTATACCTATAGAAAGTAGATAAGTTTAGGTATCCTGCATATAAATCAAAATACGGTAATTATATAATATGTACATATGTCAATCCGATTGATGATGCATAAGAGTAATTCGTTAATGTGCTTTGGTGGCGAAGTGCTAATTTGTAAACCAATCTTACTCGCCATTCATATTTGATTTCGTAAATGGCAGAACTCTCCAATTAGCAAATGGATTTTCTGCAGCAAATACGATTGTGTGAAGCCATAAAGCGGCAGAAACTTTCTATGCTAATGTGTTGGCTAAAATGTGTAGCTTATTAATAATATTCTCAAACTTCGAATAATCATGAGAGTACACTAATAAATACAATAAGCATAAATATTGCATTATTATTTTGTACACGAAATCATAAATACAAGAAATTTCAATTTTAGTAATGGTTGATTCTCCGACAGGAAACTCTGCCTCTCTGCATAATTAAAAAGCTACCGTGACATTAGTATTATATTTAAATCTAGAACGATTTAATTATGATTATGATCATTAATATGATTTTGACGATATCAGCTGCATTTGTTTATTCCACTTTTCTATCTTTTCAATACCAATGTATCTTTGCACATTTTGTGCATATTTGATATACAAATATGATACATTCTAGAATTTAATACGACAAAAATGCGAGTACATACATTATGAAGTTATGCTCGGTTGCATTGATAAAAGCATTAGCAAAAATATTGAAGATACATGATGAATATTGTATTGTACAAGAAAATTGATGAGAATCCCATTCATATCAAAATTCCGACAAATTCCGACGTTTTGTTAATTTATTAAAACTCATTCTTTGTAACAAATCCACATATATTGTAAAAAGAACCGATATTAAACGATTTTCAAGACAATCTGATAAGTATTATTACGTATATCTACTTATAAGTAGATATTATAATTAGAAATTAAAATATTTTTACTTGCAATTACGGCGAAGTAAATGTTACTTATTCGGTTAAAATATTTCATTTTATTAATGTTTTTTTTATATTTGTTTCTATTGCTCGTTAATAAATGATTTCTTTTTTCGTGTTATAAGATTTATTATCCAATTAAAATTTTTATTTTCTTAATACAAAACTAGATTTATTAAAAAATGTTTAATTTTTATATAAAAAATTATTATACAACCAAACATAACAAAACATCTTAATGCACATATGTTGAATTATTATCTTTTGTCCTATTTTTATATTGTAAATATTTAATAAAAGACGCGTACTATCGTGAACTTCTCAGCTTCAATCTTCAGTAAAGGTCTAGTAAATTGAAAGCAGATTAATCCTTCTTAGATTAAGCTTTCCTCTTAAGATTACAGCAACATGTACGGTACGAAAGATGAGATATAGATGTGCGCATAAAGTTGTGGACGCTATTGTATAATAAGTAGGTATCTTTATTGTTCTGTATTTTCGAGAGAATTATGGAATACTTGTTAGTTATCGAAAGTTTATATAATTTATAATATCAATATTTAACATATAGAAAAGAAATTGATAGCACTAAAATCGTATTTCTTTAAAAATGCAAAATATGTATATCTTTTCAAGCACTATTTTAAATGTTTATAAGAAAAGTCAATAAATAGTCGTCTATTACAAATTATTAAAATAATTAATACAGGTCATTATAAACTAATGTAAAAGAAATGACTTATTAAGAGTTGAATTAATTTTTACTCAACAAAGTGTGTACTTTATATCACAGTTTTGCAGTTTATAAATGCAGTGTTGCTGCATGAAGAAGCTGTCATTAAATCTTGATCGTTTTGTTTAGCATTTTTTTTAAATCTTATTACGTACAAAATTGGGAGAGTTTCGTTAACATGGATGATAATGTGAAATCTTATTTCTTTCTTTTGAGGATAAAACAAACTCGCCGGCTTTCCATTAGCAAGATGAAAGCCGGAGAGGACGTGTGGCAATTGTAATTATAAGGGTAATTCGCGAAGTAACACAAAATTTTGACGAAGATGAAAGAGAAGCGGATTACGTGTGCTTTATCGCGTTGTGTGATGAATTTCTCACTAATGCGACGTAACATTTCTAGACTGCGACATTGAAGATAAACGCGACCATCTGAGCGCGGTGTAACAAAGAAATACTACGAAAGTTGGAAAGTTTTGCCCGAACTTCTACGTAACAGCTGCTGTCGCACAGAACGCATCGCAAGAATTCCACTCTTTCTCTGTATGGATCAGATCAGATACGCGACACTATCTATCAGCCATTATACTCACCGATGAAAGTGTGGGATATACCGTCGAGGTATCGAGGATCGACGAAGAGATCGATAACAAAGTGTTCCCGAACTGATCTGAGATCGCGGCAGCGGGAATTACGAATCGACTTGAAAATTCCCGTGTGCGGAAAACGAACGGAAAACTCTGTTGTCTTTTTGAACAAGAAGTGTGCGTGTGATTGCGTGTCGGGGCGCGGACTGAGCGACTGGGAGCACAGTCGTCTCCGGTTGTCCCACCCCACGGGTTTCCTCAACACCATCCCCTACTCGGTTCATCCCCCTCATGCTTTCACCCCCGCCATGAAGCTCCAAAGCTCCCAGACCCCCACACCCCCGACACTTCCAGTACCGTCCGTCGTCAGCGCCAACGCCCTTGCGCACTAGGGACGTCTGCGAAGCGTGGCACCTCCGGTCGGTCCTTTGCCACTCGACACCACGAATTCTGTTTTCTCTCTCGGCGTTCATCCTCGAATCTACTCCACGCTTTCACCTGCCATGTCTATCTTCCAACACCTGTTCCTTTTTTCCAAATTTAATCCTCTCCTCAGTTTGCCGCGAAGCACTTGTCGAGAGAACGGAGTCTCATGGCACCGCGTAATAGTCGACGCAGGGTGCGCGTCTACGTACTACTACTACTACTACTACTACTACTACTATTACTACTGCTACCACCACTTGTTACGAAACAGCTATGGCATCGATCTGTAATTTGAATCATGTTGCAAAAATTTTCCGGTCCGAAATGCTCGAAATATCGAATGGCGCGATTTCGATTCAAAACGCAATACACCGGTAATTTAAACGATAGTTCACAAACAGTAGTTACTTAAAGTGAGTAAATTTTTGGCACAGATGGTGCAACGATGTTGACTTAAAGTTTTCGCAACCACTCAGAGACCTATATTTTTTTACTAACAAATTTAAGTAAACTGCAAGTATAATTGCTTCACAAACAATTAAAACTAGCCGTTAATGAAATCTAATTTCTCGCATATTTCAGTTTTTCGGAAACTAATTTTTCGTAGATAGATGCGAAACAAAACACTTAATATGAAGCTAATTTTATTTTATTTTATTGCTTTTTTATTATGTCTGACTTTCGTGCTACAAAAACAATCAAATATACATATGTTTTTAATAATTCAAGTGTATCAATGTAATATTTAATTGTAATTTCATTTAATAAATCAATTCTTAAATTAATTAATCTGTATAATACTGAAAGAGTAGAATCGTGAAAAATACATACATCCAATCACTCATCAACTCGTAAACTGACTTTCCAACCTCCACTTTCAATTACTCCAAATGCTTCAATTATCTTAGTGGGATGCAAGTTTTTATTTAATTCATCTCTGTCAGCTCAACTCACAGTTCTTTACTTCAATTTTATTCTTAATCTATTTCTTAAATCAACAATTTCTATTCACTTTTATTCATCCTTCGTATTTTCTCAGTAAAAATTTGATTTTTTGTATATTTATACAGATGTTATATTCGACAACAAAAGTATACTTTATAATATATTACTCAAATATATAGATCTCTCCCGCCCTCCTCCCCCCCCCTCTCTCTCTCTCTCTCTCTCTCTTGATAAAATTAATTATAAATAGATCTTCGTTAATTTTCTTACATTCTAAGTTCTTCAATAATTATATCAGCAAATAATAAATTTAAAAAAAATGTTTATCAAGAAAATAGAAAAGCGAGTGGCAGTTACACAATTTTATATCGTCGAAGAACGCTGAAATATATGTCTGCGCTTATTTTCTCCTCAAAATTACTGATGGCTAAGGTGCTACCGGTGATTCAAAGTTACTGAAGTGTCGAAAATGGGCGAAGAGAATAAAATGCTCCATTGGACATGAGTTAGGTTGGATTCCTTCAAGATTTGAAAAGAAGAATAACGAAAGAGGTTGTGTGATCTAAAAGGGAAAAGATCCTATCATGATTCCACTAAATCGAACTTATCATCGCAATAAGCTATACTATAACAAGCTAACTTCGCAGATACTGAAATGTTCTCTCTTATGGTACGTACCTATACAGGGTGTCCTAAAACTACCGCGTATGTTTATATTTTCACTTAAACTTTAACTTGAATCAATACAGCAAAATATCTGGCTTGAGTTTTTTAAATAAATGCATCAAATACTTTATAACTGATTTTATTCAACTGTAAACACGAAAATACGAATTGCAATTATATTTCTCAATGCGTTCAGACTATATCTCGGTAAAACGCGAAGGAATTGACAGCTTGATTTTCAATATTTTCCGAAACAAACTTTTCCGTGACGAAAAATTTATAATATTTCTAAGCCAAAATATTTGATTCCAAAATTAGCCCGTTAAAGCGGTTAATAAAGAACGATTCTTAGTAATGATTTTGCTCAGACTTCACGTGAAACCATTTCCATCCTCTAAGCTGGATAAACCATGTAATGATCAATGGTAAGCTCTTCGTATCACAGTTAACCACAAAGTACACTGTCCTATGATTGTCAACTATACAACAATGATACAGCATCGAAATTCAAATAATAACATTCAAACATACAAATTTGCTGTCATAAACTTTATGAAATTTTAACGACTCATTCAAATAGATATGAAATAAATGATTAAATGAATATTAAGATAAGTAGATAAAAGATAAAAGCTGATCTGAAGCCATTAACATAATAATGTCTTATTGTTATATTAGAGCAGATGTGTGTAAGATTTATATCTTGATGTATAAAGCACTTTCCTTATTCTCTAGCATCTACGAAGAGTGGCAGAGTGCACTTGCAATGCCTGAGAATGGCGTTTTATCGTAAGATGCATACACATATTCCCGGGGCACTCCGGGGCAGGAGCTGACTGAATTGGGTTTTGGCATAATACTCCAAACGTTTTTTTTTTGCGTTTCTTCTAGCCGAATACTCTAAACATTTCTTTTTCGCGTTTCTCCGAAGTATGGTCTAAAGAATTTTAAGGCGTTAAGAATTGCCGGTATTTTTGCGTTTAATATACCTTAAAAGTACGTAAAATTTAATAACTTATAAAAGAGAATGCACATTAACCATTGCATTATGAAAAATAAGTACGAGTTCTCTCATTTGCATGTAACTTAAGTACATGCAAATGAGAGAACGGATCATAAACGTTTCTTTCAAATCGTAGTTTTTATAAAAGCTCATGTATAATATGCTCTTGCAATTTCATATCCAGTAATTGGGTGCCTTATAACTTATAAGCAAATGTCCAGGAAACCTCGCACACTCAATGACAACCGCATCACTTTCCTCGCAAAATGCGTGAAATGAAATGCATTCGTAGCTTTCGTTCCTTATCGTCGTGTAATTGCATTACGCTATTTACATCGTCAACGAGATGCTTCGAAATCACTCGGCGCTCGAAGGTAATTTCCATGAAATAAGAACGAGAGGAAATTCTGTTGAGCGATCCAGTAAAACACTTTGCCTATAATCCGCTATTTACGTATTCCAAACGTAATGACGTCTTTTGTAGCACAATAAGCTTAATCGAAACTTTATACTTATTAAGGATTGCTTTCAATTAAATTAGTACGTACGCGGAGATATCTGATTACAATTAAATTTCTATTACAATTATTTCGAAATAAACGCGTAATTTACTTTACCGCCCTTTCAAGGCAGCTGCGATATATAAAACAAATGAAGCACTTATGCTACGCAACTTCCGTCCTTAAAGAGTTAATAATGAACAAATATTTGAAAGCTTGTGCAGAGCGGCAAAATATTATAGTTATTATCGCTTTTCAAGTATGAAATCTGTACAATAACCTACTTTTCCGACCGATCGAGTTCATAAATACGTCCACAAAAAAATATTCGACATATCAACCTATATCTTCCATAAGGCATATACTCCACTTTTTCCATGAATGCGCAATTCTTCCTCACAAAGGATTGGCCCAGTATATACTAGGTCAAACGAAAATATTATATCATTTCTACATTGAAGTATGCGTTAAGACTTTACCTTGCGAAATAAAGTTAAAAATTTTGTCAAAGGTAAATGAAATATAATCAAATTTGTTTTCTTTACAAAAGCAAAATACTAAATTTAATTATAATTGTTTTTGAAAGAATAATAACATATTTTTCTACAGTATAAAACAGAATAATAAATTATATGCATTTTTTTAAAGGTCAAATACAATTTAGATTCTTTAGTCAAGGAATTCTTGGAAAAAGAAACAAAAAGAAAACTGCATTCTCACGTATCTAACAATACTGACATTCAAACAAGAAGAACCAGTTGGTATTCCGGATGTTAGTTACTAGAGTTACTAGAGCAGGCGTGCAAGGAATAAAACGTTTCGTTACATGAGAAGAGGTAAAAGAGTAAAACGTGGAGAATCACAGGAAATTGCTGCCAAGAAAGGACTCGGGGAACTTTTGCAGCATTTAGAATCAAGGAAAACTGTTACTGTGGTGAAACTGAAACGAGAAAATATGATTTTTTACTTAAAACATAAAACCACGAAAAGGCAGGCATTATTAATGATTCTAATATAAAATAATTGAACATATATTTGAATATAATATTTAGTCGTATTTCAATTATGTATTAACTAAGTATTATTAAATGCAAACAAATATATATATATGTATATTTTTATATTTGTATATTTGTATGTTTGTATATTTGTATTTTATATATATATATATATATATATATATATATATAATTTCTAATTAGATATCAAGTATCAAATGTCTTAATATCTATGTTAAAACATATCGTTATTCCACAAATAAAATTAAAATTATACGTGTACATAATAACAAGAGAAACGTGTACATTTTACGTTTTACATCTTTAGAAACAGCAAAAGTGTATTACAAATAAAGTATTTCGGATTTTACTATAATAATTTTATTACAGATTAAAATATTTTTATTTTTTACGGTAAAATAAAATTTTTACCATCGTTGCGGCATTACCACGGATTAATTTTAATTCTTCTGAAGATTATGATTACCTTAAAATTAAAAGTTACAAAAAAAAGAAACTTTTATTACGTGGTTATAATATCTAGGGTAGACA